TAATGTTCGAAATTTATAAATATTCCTGGTCAAATATCTGAAGTTTTCCAATTGATAAGCGTCACAACAATCACAGTTATAGCTCCCGAAGTTGGTTATATTTATAGCCGTGTGGAGGCGTTCTATAAATTTCAGTTTTACGTAACAATACAAATTTAAGCGTTCACACACATAAATTGTTGATTCTTACTCTTGAGAATTTTCCAGAACTTTGGAGAATAGGCGGGAGTTTCGCAATACATATTTAACAGTATAAGTTATGCATGTTTCTAAAAATAAATTTAATCTAAACAAATTTTGATATTAAAATAAATATATAATAACAAATTCGTTACAAGATTTCGTGGATATTTTAACACCAATGTTTACATAACGAGCTATAATCTATCTCTGTGAGTATTCTTCGAAGGTTATTATTTGAAAAAGTACAAGAACAAGATAATACCAAGGCAACTTTGTTTATGTTATCAGCACACCGAGATAGAACGAAGGGACCTGTTTTCTCTGTTATCAGCACCCCTAGGTAGGACGAAAAGAACTGTTTTCTCTGTTATCAGCACCCCTAGGTAGGACGAAGGGAACTGTTTTCTCTGTTATCTGCATACCTAGGTAGAACGAAGGGACCAGTTTTCTCTCTGTTATTAGCATACCTAGGTAGAACAAAGGGACCTGTTTTCTCTCTGTTATAAGCACCCCTAGGTAGGACAAAGGGAACTGTTTTCTCTGTTATCAGCACCCCTAGGTAGGACGAAGGGACCAGTTCTCTCTCTGTTATCAGCACCCCTAGGTAGGAACGAAGGGACCTGTTTTCTCTCTGTTATCAGCACCCCTAGGTAGGACAAAGGGAACTGTTTTCTCTGTTATCGGCATACCTAGGTAGAACGAAGGGACCTGTTTTCTCTCTGTTATCAGCACCCCTAGGTAGTACGAAGGGAACTGTTTTCTCTGTTATCAGCACCCCTAGGTAGGACGAAGGGACCAGTTTTCTCTCTGTTATCTGCATACCTACGTAGGACGAAGGGAACTGTTTTCTCTGTTATCGGCACACCTAGGTAGAACGAAGGGAACTGTTTTTTTCTGTTATCAGCACCCCTAGGTAGGACGAAAGGAACTGTTTTCTCTGTTATCGGCACCCCTAGGTAGGACGAAGGGACCAGTTTTCTCTCTGTTATCGGCATACCTAGGTAGAACGAAGGGACCTGTTTTCTCTCTGTTATCAGCACCTCCAGATAAGACGAAAGAAACTGTTTTCTCTGTTATTGGCACCCCTAGGTAGGACGAAGGGACCAGTTTTCTCTCTGTTATCGGCATACCTTGGTAGAACGAAGGGAACTGTTTTCTCTGTTATCGGCACACCTAGGTAGGACGAAGGGAACTGTTTTTCTCTGTTATCGGCACCCCTAGGTAGGACAAGGGAACTGTTTTTCTCTGTTATCGGCACCCCTAGGTAGGACGAAGAGAACTGTTTTTCTCTGTTATCGGCACCCCTAGGTAGAACGAAGGGAACTGTTTTTCTCTGTTATCGGCACCTCTAGGTAGGACGAAGGTAACTTCTTGTCTCCATCTCTGTTAAGAATACTCTGAATAGCTTTCTTTACTGCTAATACTTGTTGTGGAAGACTTGACAAACTTTAGTGGTTCAAGAAGTATATTTATTTTTATGTGCACAGCTGCAAAATGGGCTAATTTAAACAAACATATTCCTTTTCTGACTGGGCACGCCGTGGAAATCAGACGATGAATTTTATTTTAGCGTTATACGTCCTCAAACTTACAACCGAGGGAACGGATAAGTTTATTTGTCATACGTATTACTCTTGTCGGTCGTTGCCCATAATAAAAGTCACTTTTATGAGCTTACCTTAGGAATATATCACTATTACTGACTTTTAAGATGAATTAGCAGAGACTCGCAAAACATCTGCGGTCAAATTCGTATCTTTATTGTCACAGTACTTCTTTAAATACAGGATTTCTAGAACAGTGCAAAAGAATTTTAATAGCAGACACTAAACTCTTAAGTCTGCTTGTTTTAGGCCTAACATTATTTAAGCCTTTATTAAGTAAGGCCTATATTCGATAAATTAACACTGTAACTTGTGTACATTTTTTTTCCTTTAGTTTAATTAGGGCTAAACTTTATCGTACTTAATCCTATCAAACTTATAATGTTATTCTACGATCTTACGTCAGATCTTTTTAAAAACTTTGATAATCTTTTAATATGTTGTATTTAAATGTCTACTGAAGTATATTTACATCCGTTGAAAAGAAATGTGCGCGTATTTACATATTAAGGTGTGTGCGCATTTTCAGAGCAGAAAAACTGAGTATTATTTAAATAGATTGACTTTTATTGTTACATTAGCCTTAATTTTTCACACTGAATATACTAAAGTTTTTATTCATCAAATATTTTCTTTAGATGTCGAATCACTGTTACGATAACACTCGACAGGATTTAATTGTATGTCTTTACACATCAGTGGGATGTTTGCTGCAGGGTTGGACACTCAGTAAACTGATGAAACTTTTAATACTAATTTTGCCAGCTTCTCCTCTGATGGAGCACCTGGCTACATAAGACAGAGACTGGGGTATTTCTTTTGTTAGTTGTTGACATTGATAATGAACTTCATTTAGTCACGTGTGTTTTTTTGAGAAGCATGAATGGGTAAATTAACCCGATTTAAGTAATCATTTTCTACTACGTTACTACGATGTGAGCTACAAAAGTTATCTAACAGTATTGTTTAGGAAGACTATGCGAGCTACAAAAGTTATCTAACAGTATTGTTTAGGAAGACTATGCAAGCTACAAAAGTTATCTAACAATATTGTTTAGGAAGACTATGCGAGCTACAAAAGTTATCTAACAATATTGTTTAGGAAGACTATGCGAGCTACAAAACTTATCTAACAATATTGTTTAGGAAGACTGCGAGCTACAAAAGTTATCTAACAATATTGTTTAGGAAGACTATGCGAGCTACAAAAGTTATTTAACAATATTGTTTAGGAAGACAATGCGAGCTACAAAAGTTATCTAACAGTATAGGTTAGGAAGAAATACATCTATTATTAGAAAAAACGTGTTCAACACTGTTAAAGAGTGCAGACAACAGAATAAATAAACAAAAAAATTACAAACGTACATATTTTGTACAAATATTGTAAATAATGACAAAAAAGGCATGGTTGCAAGTTTCTATTTCATTATTCGATATTTGTGAAAAAAAATAAAGTATTTATGACAAGAACATTATAGTTAATATTAAAATTATGTAACTGTCTACAAGATGTCACTGTGATAAGTAGACTTCTACACAAATGCCTGTTTTTACTTTATTTTAAACGTGAATAAATTAATACTGAACAATTAGTTACTGAAAACCAACTTTTTTTTAAAAAAAGTATGAAGCTGCTTGATATTTTATGTTATTTGGACAAAAAGAAACAAAAGATTTATTAAGACACACTCAGGCACTGTTTATGCATGGTTTATTAAACTAGTTAAGCTTTACAAAAATACCCATCACCCTAAGTCGGAAGGAGCTAGATAACAACTATACACGTGACTAGCTCTCTTAATCATTTTATTTTCAAACAGTTTAAAAACAACAACTTATGACTAGGAATAAGAAGTTAATTAACACGAGAAGATCAGATCTTCTCCTTCTCCCAACCTTAATTAGCAAGTGTGTGTGTGTGTGTGAGAAGATGAAGGACGGTCAAATGGATGGACAAAACGACTGGTCGACATAATTTTTAAAGCTTGCAGAGCAAAATGGAGAAAAGCGTGCACAATTAATAAAACCAAAAGAACAACACAAAGCTCCAGAAATCACCCCCACTCCCTCCCAAAGCTAACATAGCATAATATCAGACATAAACAGAATGACTTGGGAACTAATTTGATACAGAAAGATATCAGACAAACAAAATGGTTTCCAGAACAAAGCCGACATAGCATAATGTCGCACATAAACAGAATGATTTGTGGAATCTGTTTGATGTAGAAAGATATCAGACATAAACACAATTACTTTTGGTATTCTCTACTATCTATTTGTTTTAATTCTGACTTTAGCAAACTCAGAATGTATAAGCACGGAAATGGTTGGAAGATGTAAGGAAGTCGAAGTGTTAATAATACTACACTTAAAAAAAAAACACAAAAGGATAACTGAACAGTAATCTAACCAACTATATATCAATGACAAATAGAAATATTGGACAAAAACATGCTTCTTGTAGAAGTATCAAGATATCAAACTAGAAAACTTGAGTGTCATATTCAGTAAAAATACTGTTGTTCATTTTTTCGAGATGATTTGTTTACTGACAAAACAACATTTCTATTTACAAATATGTCAAAATAGTTACATATCATTGCATCAGTTCCAATATTTACTGTTCCAAATTTCACGAGTTTCCAGCCAAAAAAAAACAAGACACGTTCCTTTGTAATGAAAAAAAATAGATAATTTCAAGTATTTTGGTAACTTGGTCAACGATTATAGCTTTAATTAATTTTGTTTGGTAATATTCATTCAACCGAAATGAAAAAAGTAAACTTTTATCTTTGAGAGCACCAATGTTACTGAATGTGAATAGTTTATGGACAAATCTTTATGGATAACAGTAAACAAAAACTCCAAACATTACTTCAATAACGTGTCTGTGAAACCTCACAGTCTGTGTGTACGCTTATCCAACAATCTTCAATAAATTCGTGAATACCTACATAATTCTTAATACAATATTGTAATACCTTTAAATTCTAGATTTCTAGCATAATATGAACAAATTTCGCTTGGAGATTCTTAGATTGGAAATAACGTGTCTGTCGTATGAACGTTTGTATTTCAGTTTTAACAGCTTTAAAAACATTCTTGGTTTTAGTGACGGTTACTAAAAGATTTTGTGACACTAATTTAAGTTTCTTTATTACTTGCTTCGGAGAATGACAATTAGTAGAAGATCTGGATACATAGCGACATAGGTGATTTCACGTTTCAGTAATATTCCATGGAATTTCTCTATTAATTAAACAGTAGCGTGAAAATATATGTTATGTGCCAAGCACAAAGTTAAACTGCCCTCAACACAACTTAAATGTTGAAAGCACGTTAAAGACAAAAGCTGTAACACAATACTCCCTTCAGACTCTGCTGTAATGAGGACACAAGTTAGCCGAAGAGATGGACAGCACTGAATGAAACACAGATTGTTGTTTAACTAATGACATCTTGGATATATAACAGATATAAACAAAAACCTAGAAAAGAACTAGTCAGTTGAAAAAATACTTCTGCAAAACTGAAACCTAATAATGTAATAATAACTTTATTAAACCATTAGTTCACGTGGCAGACTTGAAACACCCCAAAACCTCATAACCCAAACTACTAAGAGTCCAAAAGGAACAATTCCATTATGTCAAAATTAGATATAAAAACCTCACAAAAAACAAAAGGCTTAGATTTCTAATTATGGGAAGCATACTAACCAAAAATGTCAAGAAGAACGAATGTTAACTGGCTCAATTAAACGTTTAAAAGGAAAAAAAAATTAAAAGCAGTGATGCTACAAATCTATGTAGCGACATATCCTGATGTAGTACTTGGTACTTAATGAACACATACATACCAATCTTGGATCACAGCACTAGCAAGATTTGTACCTCAGAGAAATCCACAATCAATACAAATCTTGGATCACAGCACTAGCAAGATTTGTACCTCAGAGAAATCCACAATCCATACCAATCTTGGATCATAGCACTAGCAAGATTTGTACCTCAGAGAAATCCACAACCCATACCAATATTGGATCACCAGCACTAGCAGAACAGGTACTGTGGGGAAGACCACATCCACCCCAAGCCATTCATGGATCTGAAGCACTAGAAGAATACCCACACTGTAAAGAAGACATCATCTATAAATACAAAGAAACCCTAGTCATTCTTGGAGCACCAGTACTAGCAGGATTTGTATGTGGAGAAGACTACAACTCATGACATTCATTGGATCACTGCGGAAACAGAACAAGTACTGTACGGAAAACAAAACATGAGACAGACATGGCTTAAATTCACTTGACTATTAAGACTGCTTTTAATGTTTTTAGAAGCTTATGTAGAAAGACCACCCAGTGGCAGTGTGTTTCAATAATTGCCATGCATGCAAAGTGTTTCAAAATGCATAGTGGGTTTGAAGAACACTTCTAGAACCATACAGATTAAAAACTCACATTAAAAATCCTTACTTTATGCTGTAAACACTACTTGATTGGCACAACAGTTGTTGTTTTTGACAATATTTCCATGACAGTAAGTATACAATAATTAAAAGAATAAATTAAACTTTGACTTAATAAACAAGGTACATTACAACCGTATATAGTAATCTTGTTTTGAGTGAGGCTTTAAACCACCCATTATGGGTGTTAGCAAACAGTACGAACATGAACAAAAATGGAACAAACCACACTAGAAATTTTACTTTGTCTGTGATATAGCACATTTCTTCAGGTTCTTTTTTTTTACAAATTTAAAAAGTCTGTACACACGTTCAGTTGAACCTGATGAGCATCAAGCTTTGATTTTTCTTTCCTTCCTAATAACACCGTTGAGAGGCTTTCCATTGCTCTTCAAACCCGGCCTTCTCCGAGAGTCAAACAATGTGTCTGACTCAGAGTCTGAAACCATGAGGCTACTGTTCTGTGACTTGCCTGAAATGGAAAAAAATATTTTTGTACAAAATATAAAATATCAAAAACATAAATTAATCTAAAATCAAAACTTAGAAAAAAATTAATCTGTTGTGACAACTAGAAAGAATAAAAGCATGAAATCTTCTATAGTTTGGTGTGGTAGCAGTACCTTGTCAGTACCACAACAGATAGTGAGTGGTAGCAGTACCTTGTCAGTACCACAACAGACAGTGACTGGTAGTAGTAGTACCTTATCTGTACCACAACAGACAGTGACTGGTAGCAGTACCTTGTCAGTACCACAACAGCCAGTGAGTGGTAATAGTACCTTGTCAGTACCACAACAGACAGTGAGTGGTAGCAGTACCTTGTCTGTACCACAACAGACAGTGACTGATAGCAGTACCTTGTCTGTACCACAACAGACAGTGACTGATAGCAGTACCTTGTCTGTACCACAACAGACAGTGACTGATAGCAGTACCTTGTCTGTACCACAACATACAGTGACTGGTAGTAGTACCTTGTCTGTACCACAACAGACAGTGACTGGTAATAGTACCCTGCATGTTAGATGTAGTGAGTTACTGCCACTACCACAACAGACAATGAGTGGTAATAGTACCTTGTCTCTACCACAACAGACAGTGACTGGTAATAGTACCCTGCATGTTAGATGTAGTGAGTTACTGCCACTACCACAACAGACAATGAGTGGTAATAGTACCTTGTCTCTACCACAACAGACAGTGAGTGGTAATAGTATCTTGTCTATACCACAACAGACAGTGAGTGGTAGCAGTACCTTGTTAGTACCACAACAGTTATGTCCAAAATAAAAACAATATTAAAACAACAGCCTTTAAATAAATATTGATAATTACTTTTGTAAAAAAGTAGTGAATACATAGCATCCTGTTGAGTTATAATCCAGGTTTTCCTTAGATAATTCAGTCACGAATAATGCAATTAATCAAGTCTACGTGAAGTCTCTCCTTTTCAAACTAAATAAATAAATAATTTGTTAAATAAAACTTTTAAATGGCTCATACAAGCAGTACAAAGTGGACAAAAGAGACCATTCAAAATAAATCTTCCAAGTGTATTTAGAACATTACTGTTTTATTTTTACCTCTAGGTATTCCATCTTTCTCCTTGTCGCTACCAATGTCTTCAAGAAGAGCATATCTGTGGCGTTTCTTCTGCTTTCGACACTTCACTCTGACAAAGAAAGAAAGTCTGGATAGTTACTGAATTCAAGCAAATGTTGTTGTTTTTTTTTTCACATAATGAATGAAAAGTATAACAATTAATAAAAGTACTTTATCTTTTTTTTTTTAGAAGGTGAGTCTGTGTGCCTGACTCAGGTAACAACACAACTTCATTAATTAATAAAAAAAACAAAAAGTGTTGAAATCTGAAAAACCATATCCCTGCATTAAAAAGTTCATCAGTAAATACAAAAGATAAAACATTCTTTCAGCTCATAAACATTTTCGTAGAATCTAAATTATAGATATGTTTTTTTCTTTGCAGGTTTGTGGTCTGTACATGAATGGACATGTACTAAGGAGATCTATGATTTGGATAAATTATAGCTAAATGTAATGAAAAAGATACCATTAATAAGACAGGCAAGAATTTGATAAGGATGAATACTTAAACACAAACAGTTCTTTCTCTTACATTAGAATTGTACAAAAATTTAATACACGGGCTATTGGAAAGTTGACAAAAACAGACACAACAGTATAACCAGTTCAAGAAAAAAGTTAGTTTGTTGGGTTCAGAATTTTCCCACATAAATCTATCTTCATACAGCCAACCCTTATTCTGAATAGATATAACACATGGAAAGGAGTTTATCAAAAGCACCCACCACCAACTCTTGGGTTACATAGTCTAATCAAATAGTGGGATTTGACTGTCACTCTTATGTATGTTTTAGCAACACCAGATTGCCAACTATGAACGTCAGATTCCCTGCCATGCTGATGACTAGGTCATACGTAGACCATATCCAAACTAAAAAAATATACTTACTTATCCTAGCAAGTTTTGTGTGGAATAATCCAACATTTTATGTCCAATGTAAACATGATTTACTCTTACACATTATTTAAATGTATATTTAAGGACTTGTAATTCCTTGAAATTATTAGTTAAAAAATAAACCGACTTAAAGAGCAACATATTCCAATAATTATAAAAATTATGCAAATTGTTTCCATGGTAACGATATGCAATATGATACGACAATTAGAACTTTGATTCCAGCAGGTGGCCAGAATAATAGAATTATAACAAACAATCAGGTTTAAAAATGAACAGCATACCTCATACAAAGGAAAATAATTCCCCAAATACTTCCAGCAACTGCCATTACTCCAACAAAAGAAATTATCACCACGTACAATATACTCCAATCTGTAATCATTAAAAGTTCATTATTTTGAGGCAACAAAAAATAAAAACTTGTTTTATTTAATATAGAACTTATTAAAATTAAAAGTTTCAATGTAGAGGTGAAACTAATAAACTCAACCTAAAATCATTTTATTTTGTGCTAAATAATCAAAATATCATAACATGAAAGTTTAACATCCACATTTTCTGTAAATACAACTTTCAGTAAGGGTTAAATGTAAAAATGGGGAAAAAAAAAAAGACATGAGAAGTATAATTAATAACTCTCACCTTATGTACACACGTTTTAAAGAGTAATTAAAGTAATGTTCTTTTAATAAAATATTCTAGTCCAGTTCAAAAGAACAAATTTAAACTATCTTTCTCAAGTACACCTTACAACAAAATTAGAAACTTTACACGAAATGAAGAGACTTTAATATACATAAACAAGATGCAAAAGTATAACATGTATTCTTGGTTCTACTAGAGTTTTTTCTCCAAATACATTTATGTCATAGATAATATACAGTACTTAGTTCGATCTGGAGTTTGGTTGATATATAATCTTGTAGATTACAAGTGCAAACTGTTATTTTATAAGTCAGTAATCTGAAAATTTAGTTGTTTTAACTTCTATAAGATAACAGAAAATTTTAAAAGTTAAACTTACTTTTGGTTAATGTTCGTTTAGATAACATATCTAAATATCAAGTTTGTGGGAAGATAACGTTCGTTTAGATAACATATCTAAATCTCAAGTTTGTGGGAAGATAACGTTTGTTTAGATAACATCTAAATCTCAAGTTTGTGGGAAGATAATGTTCGTTTAGATAACATATCTAAATCTCAAGATTGTGGGAAGATAACGTTCGTTTACATAACATATCTAAATCTAAAGTTTGTGGGAAGATAACGTCCATTCAGATAACATATGTAAATCTAAAGTTTGTGGGAAGATAACGTCCATTTAGATAACATATCTAACTCACGTTTTCTATAGAGGTTTTAGTTGAACTGATTTACAAACACTAAATTCCACTTAAACTCGAGAAGTTATATAACTAAAACTCATAAAAGTTTACTGATATCTTAAATATTTTTTTTATCTTCCCACAAACTTTAGATTTAGATATGTTATCTAAATGGACGTTATCTTCCCACAAACTTTAGATTTAGATATGTTATCTAAATGGACGTTATCTTCCCACAAACTTTAGATTTAGATATGTTATCTGAATGGACGTTATCTTCCCACAAACTTTAGATTTAGATATGTTATCTAAACGAACGTTATCTTCCCACAATCTTGAGATTTAGATGTTATCTAAACGAACATTATCTTCCCACAAACTTACCACAGTTACTTTCTCTATGTCCAAAGTAAAACTTGAAAATGTTCTGCATCCAAAATGCTTCACACACACAGAGCTTAGTATACGGGTCACAAGATCCGTGATTTGAGCATTCATTTTGGCACACTAAATACAAATATATCATTGGTATCTGTTATCGTGTATAAAAACACACAGTTTACAAGATAATTTTTACATCACTTTTATTAGCTCGAAGGATCTTGTCAGCTGTTCTAAATACAGAATTTTTAAACACTTACATCACATTTAACTTCATCTCACTTCAAGCTTTTCACTATTTGACATTATCTATACAGTGTTAGTTTCAGGTGACAAATATTGAACTTGTCATAATAACAAAACACTACTTCTAGTTGAATATTGGTAACATTCAATAATTCAATGCTTAAAGACATGTTATTTACAATATTTGACTAAATACCTACTTTTACGTGGATTAATGACTTGTGTATCTGTCAAAATGTTAATTGAGAATATCATCTAATTGTGCAGAGCTTCAATTTATCAGGAAAGATTGTGTTTGAGGCTTAGTTCAGCTCTAGTTTCTGTCCCCTTTTGAAATATTTCACCCATTAGAGTTTTGTTTTAGATGGAGAAACGTAACCGAGTTAGCAACTTTTTATACAAACTACTTAATAATGTATACACAATACAGAAAAGATATACTATATTTACATGTATCCACACCCATATTTGCACGTATCCACACCCATAGTTGCACGTATCCACACCCACACTTGCACGTATCCACACCCACACTTGCACGTATCCACACCCACACTTGCACGTATCCACACCCATACTTGCACGTATCCACACCCATACTTGCACATATCCACACCCATAGTTGCACATATCCACACCCACACTTGCAAGTATCCACACCCACACTTGCAAGTATCCACACCCATACTTGCACATATCCACACCCACACTTGCACGTATCCACACCCACACTTGCATGTGTCCACACCAATATTTGCAGTATCCACACCCATACTTGCACGTAACCACACCCATATTTGCACGTATCCACACCCACACTTGCATGTGTCCACACCAATATTTGCACGTATCCACACCCATATTTGCACATATTCACACCTATATATGCATGTATCCACACACGTTAGACTAAAATATAAGTTTTCACTTCACACTTTAGTTACGAATCAAACGGGTCATTCTACTATTTACAACAAACTAACATAATTCTAAATAACTGTAACAAAAACAAAGGATGTCTGGTCATATTTTTTAAGTGTTTCATACATGTATTTATATCTCAACAAATAGAAAGCTTCCAGCTGCATCATCTACCAAACCTGACAAAGCTAACTGAAGGTCTGAGTATGTAATGAACATTTGGTTGATAGAATCCTATTAAAATGAAAGAAATACAAACCTGTCACACCTGTAACACAGTAAGCCTATAGCTAACAGTTACAGTGATTGTAACACCTGTAACACAGTAAGTTCATAGCTAACAGTTACAGTGATTGTCACACCTGTAACACAGTAAGCCTATAGCTAACAGTTACAGTGATTGTAACACCTGTAACACAGTAAGCTTATAGCTAACAGTTACAGTGATTGTCACACCTGTAACACAGTAAGCCTATAGCTAACAGTTACAGTGATTGTCACACCTGTAACACAGTAAGCCTATAGCTAACAGTTACAGTGATTGTCACACCTGTAACACAGTAAGCCTATAGCTAACAGTTACAGTAATTGTAACACCTGTAACACAGTAAGTCTATACCTAACACTTACAGTGGATGTTACATCTGTAATGCAGTAAGTTTATAGCTAACAGTTACAGTGATTGTGTGTCACACCTGTAACACAGTAAGCCTGTAACTAACAGTTACAGTTATTGTCACACCTGTAACGCAGTAAACATATAACTAACAGTTAGAGTTACAAAAGTATGAAATAAGACAGTTGTACACAGCATGTTTCTTCTAAAAATACAGTCATGAATAGAGAAATAATCACACTGGATATACAGACTGGCACCTGTAAACATTAACTACAGACCTGGGGTGTCATGTAGACTAAACCTTACGTAACATAGCATATTAATGTATCAGTATTTATAAACTTTCCAAACTTTTTAGTGCAGGTTTTTACAAGTGGCTCAGCAGTAAGTCTGAAGGCTTAGAGCACTAAAATCTTGGTTTAGATACCAGTGGTGGCTACAGTGCAGATAGCCCATTGTATAGCTTTGCATTTAAACAAACAAAAATCATTTAAAAGTTCTAGATGAATAGGATGTGCCTAACATCAACATCCTCTTATCTAGCAACTGATACAAATATCTGTAGGCAGGCTCCACAGACCAAAACTTGTCTATTTAGCAACTGATACAAATATCTGTAGGCAGGCTCCACAGACCAAAACTTGTCTATTTAGCAACTGATACAAATATCTGTAGGCAGGCTCCACAGACCAAAACTTGTCTATTTAGCAACTGATACTAATATCTGTAGGCAGGCTCCACAGACCAAAACTTGTCTATTTAGCAACTGATACAAATATCTGTAGGCAGGCTCCACAGACCAAAACTTGTATATTTTTCACATCCAGTCTATTTGCTGGATAAATATTTAAGCTGGTTGAACTACACTAATCTTGACCTTAGAGATAGTCACAAATACATGTGTAGGCTCCACAGCCTGAAACTTGTCTATATTTCTGAAAACAGACTGATGAAGAGTTCCCGAGAGAGTGTTAATACAAAACCTCATGTGAACAAGATACCGAGCAGGCATAAGCTGAGACCCAGATTTGTGAACAGTCCTACTCTGAGCAGAAGCAGATGTTACACTAGAAGTAGGAGTAGATGTAAGGAGCATCAAAAACATTACACACGACTCTAGAATGAAAGGATGAAAAGCAAATCCAGATACTAAAATCCTAATTGATTCCTGCTAGCAAGCTTCCCTTGAAATGGAATCAAGTGAGAGATCGGGAAAAACAAAAAATTATGGGTTTCTTTTTTTTTGAAGTGATGGTAGAGAAAGGAAATATGTCAAACCAACCAATTCATAACATACAGTGGAGAAAACTATTAACAGTTTACAACAAAATGGAACACAAAAGAATACAAAATGATGAGGTGAGAGAAATAAAATTCATGTATGGAAATCATCTCATAAGCACCCTCAGACAAACAGAAACAGGTTCAATGTTAAAAACATACCTAAGAGAAATAGAAATTGAGACCAGCGGAAGTGTTCAGAATTAGGGCTAGAACTGTAGCAGATAAAACCAGCTCTGCAGGTACTGAAAGCAATGAAAACTGAACAAAATTGGCCATCGTCAAATGAGGACAAATTATGAGTGGTAAACAAATGACGTGTCTACATATACATGCATACACATCAGTATACAATGGCAGGAAATGGACTACTGATGTTAAAATTGTATTGATGTTGTCCAACTGCACGCTACAGATAGATTGTGTAAGGTAATGTCCAACACACAAACTCATGTAGTTGTACTCGTGATAGACAATAAAGAAATTTAACTAATGGTAGAAAGGCAGAGCTTATGTAAGATTCAATGATGCCAATCACGTGGAAGGTGGGAGAGTGGAGCATTGTGGGTAATCACGTATATGGTGCGCAAGTACGTAAATAAAATTTGAAATGTTGAGTCAAATTTAGTTGACAAGTTCAAATTGAAGAAGGAAAGACTTTCAGTGTTTCAGAGGTAATCTTCCTGATTTGAAGTTTAGATTAATATATAGTTTATACTATATAGTGATTAACTCAGTAAATATTTTAACTGTTGTTATTGATTGTAACTAATGTGTAATACACGATCACTTCACACAGAGAAAATAAGGCACTCGACAGCCGTATTCAACCCTAATTGTGGGAAATGCTATAGAAGAGATCACAGTATACTATCATTAGATAAAGGTAAAACCAACAAAAACAAAATTAGTAAAAACAACTGATCAGCTAACCAAAGTACTACATATAGGCAGAACTTCATGACAAACCTACAGAACGTTTACTTACTCGTACAAAATAAAGGTAACCAAAATATTACATGACAACAGATTTTGGTAAGAAAACTAAAGACTGTAAATACCTTGGTTAGAAAACCAGAAGATATGATACATACCAACTGTGTCTAGAGACAAAATATCCAAGTTGAGTAAACTACTATCAGTCAGTAGCTTTCTCTTCAAGGATTTAACTACATCTATTCCTTTCACCGAAGTGACGGTTTCTCCCGGTTGAGTTCTTTCTGCTATGAAGATAAGCCTCACCCTAATGGAGAAAGGAGTATTTAGAACAAATGTGAGCCTGTTGAGAAAAACAGAGTCAAGTAGACAGTATTTTTATTGTTTATTGAAAGAAATGCACTGGAATGGTAATTGTAGAAAACATGACATAAAAAATATACAAACTGATGCATGAACAGAATAAAAACTGAAATCAAGTTGACATTAAAAAATATACAAACTGATGCATGAACAGAATAAAGAGTGAAATCAAGTTGACATTAAAAAATATACAAACTGATGCATGAACAGAAAAATAGACTGAAATCAAGTTGACATTAAAAATATACAAACTGATGCATGAACAGAATAAAGACTGAAATCAAGTTGACATTAAAAAATATACAAACTGATGCATGAACAGAATAAAGACTGAAATCAAGTGACTTTAATTTTTTTTTTACTTAAACAAAACAGTAAATGCATATCTAAATGACCAATGAAAGAACAGAAAGCACAAAATAACGTGTCTATGGAAAATGTAGCAAGAAAAATAAGTAACTGATATGAAATGACAGAATACCAAAGATACCAGCGACAATAGAATAAAAAAAAGATATGTAAGAAAATGAAAAAAAAAAAAAAAAATTAAAATAAATGACCAATGACAAGAGTAGCAAGAAATGAGATGTGTAAGTTAAACTGAGTTCAGTATAAAAGAAAATATGTAAACTAATGAATATTAAGAGAACATAAAGTAAGAGAGACCTGAAAAATATCCTTACAGATAACAGAAAGAATACATATGTAAACTCTAACAAACAGATAATTTGCTGATTTAATAAAGAGAATATACAGATAAAATCATCAGCTGTGTTAGATGTTACTAACAATAGGAACAAGTTCAGCTTAACCATTAAGAAAATATATAAACAAACACTGAAAAGACACATGTTTTATGAAATGTAAACTTTAGACAAGTTATGTTTCTAGTTGATGTATTACCATTTCTTGCAAAATATTAGTGTTAGAACAGTAGCAACATCTGTTTTTTAATACCCACCTGCGGGTCTGTCTATCAGCATCCAAGCTGAGGACGTGGATTTTACAATCTCCAAGTGAATGAAGAAGTAGCTCCAGCTGTTTAATAAGTGTATCCTGAAATAAACAGAAGTTAAAAAAATATGATTTCATTTTTCTGTATCATTTATGTATAAGAAGGTTATTTGCACATTTCTTAATTACATTGACATTCCTATTGTCTTAAAAAGGGCAAATTACAAAAAAATTTATACTATAAGATTAGAATCTCATTTTATTCATTTGGTACACTGATGTCATCTGTTGTTGTGTTTGGTACACTACCGTCATTGGTTGTTGTGTTTGGTACACAAACATCATTGGTTGTTGTGTTTGGTACACTACTGTCATTGGTTGTTGTGTTTGGTACACAAACGTCATTGGTTGTTGTGTTTGGTACACTACCGTCATTGGTTGTTGTGTTTGGTACACTACCGTCATTTCTTGTTGTGTTTGGTACACAAACATCATTGGTTGTTGTGTTTGGTACACAAACATCATTGGTTGTTGTGTTTGGTACACTGATGTCATCTGTTGTTGTGTTTGGTACACTAACGTCATTGGTTGTTGTGTTTGGTACACTAACGTCATTGGTTGTTGTGTTTGGTACACTAACATCATTTCTTGTTGTGTTTGGTACACTAACGTCATTGGTTGTTGTGTTTGGTACACTAACGTCATTGGTTGTTGTGTTTGGTACACTAACATCATTTCTTGTTGTGTTTGGTACACTAACATCATTTCTTGTTGAGTTTGGTACACTAACGTCATTGGTTGTTGTGTTTGGTACACTAACGTCATTGGTTGTTGTGTTTGGTACACTAACGTCATTGGTTATTGTGTTTGGTACACTAACGTCATTGGTTGTTGTGTTTGGTACACTAACGTCATTGGTTGTTGTGTTTGGTACACTAACGTCATTGGTTGTTGTGTTTGGTACACTACTGTCATTGGTTGTTGTGTTTGGTACACAAGCATCATTTCTTGTTGTGTGTGGTACACTAACCTCTTTATTTATACACCATTTTGTTACACTAATATTTCATTCTGTATACAGTACACTAACCTCATATCATGCTATATTCAATGTACTAATCTCACTTCATCCTTTCCTCGGCATATTTACCTCATTTTATGCTGTGTTCAGTATACTGACATAACTTCAAGCTATATTTAGTAGATTAACGTGATTTCATGTTTTATTTGGTAAACTAACTGGATTTCACACTGTATCTGATACAATAATGTCATTTCATGACTAACATACATTACATTTGATACATTAATATTATTTCATGACTAACATATGCTACATTTGATACATTAATATTATTTCATGCCTAACATATGCTACATTTGATACATTAATATTATTTCATGCCTAACGTACAATACATTTAATACATTAATATTATTTCATGACTAACATACAGTGTATTTGATACATTAATATTATTTCATGACTAACATACGCTACATTTGATACATTAATATTATTTCATGCCTAACATACGCTACATTTGATACATTAATATTATTTCATGCCTAACAGACGCTACATTTGATACATTAATATTATTTCATGCGTAACATATGCTACATTCTATACATTAATATTATTTCATGCCTAACATACGCTACATTTGATACATTAATATTATTTCATGACTAACATATGCTACATTTGATACATTAATATTATTTCATGACTAACATATGCTACATTTGATACATTAATATTATTTCAT